TGTCACCATTGGCTTCTGGTTTCAGTTTCAACATGTAAAGAGCTTGGGAATCATCACTCCTGTCCTTACCAGAAAAAGCTAAACAAACTGAAAAATGAGTTTTCTTGGACCTATTACAGGACTGGGGTCACAGGTCCAACCGCCACCTCAAAATCTGGAGAGACAGGTGTATCCAGAGTCATAGCTGATAGCTGCTTACATTGAGTAGAACCACTAGAGAGAGCCATAAGCTGGTAGGAACACTTTACAGGGCAACTTTGATGAACTGCTGGAGGTGGAATGTAGACTAGCATGAGAAACTCCTGGGGGCCGCTCCTACTCCAGCCCCTTCTACTCTTCCCATCTGACTTAAGGGGACAAAAATGCAGTCAACAGGGGTCAAGGCTTCAAAGAAATAGACTGAGAATGCTGCAGTCAGGGAAAGGAATAAAGGATGGCATGTGGAAAGGTTTAATGCCGAACTTGTGAAGGTCAAGCCTGGAGACACAGGCCCACCAAAAGACTGAGATTTAATCAGATTATAAAATACTCCTCCTACTTTACACCTTACCACCACACCAAGAGGGCTCTAGTATGGAAAAACAGTGAATTACAGCTAAAAGAGCTGCAAGACACAGATTCTCTCCAAGGATGACTACTTAGGGATGCCCAAAGTCAAGAGGGGGGACCAAAACAAGTCCACTAGAAGAATTTGGAGCCTCTGGCACCTATAGCTACAGCAAGCATTAAACATAGCCCAACTCCTAGACAGATTAACATAAATTCTCACACTAAAGGCCCATTTATCTCAGTTCGTATTATCTAACACAACATGTCCCTCTTCCAACAAGAGTACAAAGCATGCCAAAAGGCATGAAAAGTCTGAAGATACAAAGCAAGCATCAGAATGAGACTCAGAGATGACATAGATGAGGAACTACCAGAAAATTTAAAATAACTATGATTAATATGTTAAGGGCTCTAATGGAAAAAGTAGACAAAATGCAAGAAGAGATGGGTAATGTAAGTGGAAAGACAGAAATTCTAAGCACTGAAAGGAAATGCTAGAAATCAAAAACACTGTAACAGAAATGAAGTATGTCTTTGATGGACTCATTAGTAGACTGGACACGGCAGGGGGATCACTGAGCTTGAAGATATGTCAATAGAAACCTCCTAAAGTGAAATACAAAAAAAGAAAAAGAAAGAAAAAAACAGAACATCCAAGAACTGTGGAATGATTTCAAAAGGTGTAATATATGCATAATGGGAATACCAGAGAGGAAAGAAAGAGAAAATGGAGAAGAAATATTTGAAGTAATAACGGCTGAAAACTTTCCAAACTTAATGACAGACACCAAACTACAGATCCAGGAAGCTCAAAAACACCAAAATTAAATATAGAAAGAATCTACACCCAGGCATGTCATATTCAACCTACAGAACACCATAGGCAAAGAGAAAATTTGGAAAAAATCCAGAGAAAAAGAACACGTTACCTGTAGAGGAACAGACTTCTTGTGAGAAACCATGCAAGCAAGAAGAGAATGGAGTGAAAAATTTCAGGTGCTGAAAGAAAAAGATGACCAACCTAGAATTCTATGTCCAACAAAATTATTCATCAAAAGTGAAGAAGACTTTCTCAGACACACAAAAACAGGGAATTCATCATCAGTCAACCTTCCCTGCAAGGAATGGAAAGTTCTTCAGGCAGAAGGGAAATGATATAGGTTAGAAGCTTGTACCAACATAAAGAAAAGAAGACCACTAAAGAAGAAATAAATAGAGACAAATAAAATCTTTTATTTTCCTATTCTTATAACTACTTGTTTAAAGTACAACCTATTGGGTGATTACAACATATGGGTAAGTGAAATGAATGATAGCAGTGTTATAAAGGATGGGAAGGAGGAATCGGGAATACACTGTTATAAGGTACCTGCACTACACTTGAAGTGGTATAGTGTTATTTGAAGCAGGCTTAGATTAGGTAAGGTATGTAATTTTGAGGTATTTAATTCTTTGAGCTTTGTTAAGGTGTGTAATTTTTTTTTTAAAGAAGTATAATTGGTACGCTAAGAGGAGAGATAAAATGGCATCACAAAATGCTCAAAACTAGAGGAAGGCAGAAAAAGAGGGAAGGAAAAGGACAGAACAAAAGTAACAGAGAAAACAGTTACACACGTAGTAGATATTAACTACATTACTTATACTTTAAATATGAAAGGCCTAAATACACCAATTAAAAGACAGAGATTTTCAGGTTAGGTTAAAAACAAGATCCAACTATATGCTGTCTATAAGAAATCCACTTTAAGCATAAAGACCCAGAGAAGTTAAAAATTAGGAGTGCTGAAAGATACCATGCTAATACTCATCAAAAGAAAGCTGGAGTAGCATCTTAATTTCAGACAAACGAGACTTCACAAGGAAGATCATCAGGAATATAGAGAGATACATGATAAAGGGGTCAATTCTCCAGGAAGACATAGCCACCCTAATGTGTATGTACCTAACAACAGAATGTCAAAATACATGAGGTTCTGGACCACTACGGCGAGGGGCTCTGGACCAGCCATCACTTCCTCTTGGAGTGTCAGAGCCCTCCGTTATCCTCACCTGGAATGCCATTCCTGGCCCTGGCCCCTGTAACCACACCCTACACATCCTTCAACTCAGAAACCATGACATTGGAGGTTGCATAGATCTGGATCTGGACTCCCTACATTTTTTTTTTTTTTTTTGCTAAACTTTGAAAAAATGGACTCTGCCTATTTTATTGATCTCACCCTTAAAATTTTCAATAAACCTTTCCCAAGAATTCTCACAAGACCCTCAAATCTTTCCACTCACCAACCATGGTATGTTGATGGATTAACCTCCTATACATAACTACTATTCCTAATAATCAAATGTTACACAGAGACTATTGTGATTAATAAACCACAAATCCTCGAGAGCATTGCTAAGTTCATAGCATATATTTTCCCAATTATTAAATGCTAAACTGCACCACTGTGCCACACCAGGGCTGAAGAACTAAGAGGATTTCTCAGAACATGAACTCTTATGATAAATGCTCAGTCTATTTTCTCTCCACCAACAGTAAGCCAGAGCCATTCCCACTGTCCTGCCATGCTCCTGGAATGCTGCTGCCTCACCCATTACCCAAATCCTCGTCATCCCGTGGGGCCCAGCTTCAGTCTCCTTTTCTTCTGGCAACTTCCCCTCACTTTTAGTCTGTCTCTCACTGATCATGCCCACTTCTGACCTCCTTGTGGGAGCTGGAGCCTGGGCTTTTGAGAGCAGGCATCGCTTAATTTTCTTCTGACTTGTACTCTGAACTAGCAGACAGATAAGTATTTTAAGGTGCTGATAAGCAGAATTTCAAGTCAGTAGTTTTGATTTGTTCAGAGTAAGTTTTCTGACCAAAGGGAGAAAAAGATACAAGATACCAGTATCGAGGGATCCAAATAGCATATTCCATTACCTAGTTAATTCAAAATGTGGTTGACTTTTTGTTTAATAATGGTCAATTAAAGTTAGCATGTATTTTACGTGATAATTATCAAGTTTATGAGATATTTATCAAATTTATCAATTTAGGTATTTGGGATTCACATAAAACATACTGTAATTAGGAAATTGGCAAAATTATTCTCTCACGCCTCATGGTGTGAATTCCCTGCTTCTCAGTCCACGTTAAGTGTCATCTGAGCTTTACTACCATAGACACAGATTCCTCTCACTGCCGACTTTCAATGGAGAGTTTAGGAAAGCTCATAGTATTTGTATGGGGTGAGGGGAGGGTGGCAACTTCGACTCCTATCATATTTTCACCACTTGCCAGTTGCATGCCCTTGGGAAAGCTATTTAACATATCTGAGTCATCTCCTGTAAAATGGGGGTGATAACTACACCTTGTGGTTGTGTGAGGGTTGTAAACTGAGCAAAACAAAGAAGCTATTGTCTAAGGCTTAGGTTTACCAAACTAAATGAAAAGTAAGCACATGTCCTCATTCAGGCAGGCATTATCAAGCACATTCCAATTCTCCAGAATACAATGTGATTTCTCTTCGTCCTTCCTGGGATTTGCAGACTAGAGGGCCACAAGGTATATCAATGCATGAATCAGAGGAGTCAAGCATGAAGAGTAATCACCAAGTGAATTTCTTGGTACATGTGTAGTACATAAATTTACAATAATGAATTTTTTTATATAACTATTTCAACTTAGAAAAATAGACAGATCCTATTTTTAGTGTGAGCCAATAATTCATTTTCACTACTCAAGTTACTTTCCCTTTCAATATTCGGCACCTGGTCAATAGTCAAAGTTAGTGAAAGGCTGTAACAGTTAAACACAAATCTATCCTAGAATGTCGCTCTATTTGCGTTAAGAGGCCACCACATTTATTTTCTCTTGAGACACAAGTCCAAAACTCCACGCAGGAAATCTTAGAAGTTCTACCCTGGCTAGAAACGCTTAGCATGCTTTAGCAAAGACAGGCATCCACTGTTACCATCTTCCTTTCTTTACCACATCAGGAATAATATCTTTTTTTTCTTTTTAAACAGTTATTTTGCCTTACCTCTGACTATCAAAGTACTATTACTGTATTTCTCATTTCAGACTTACTTTTCCTTCCCATCTAAACTGGAAAAGCTGCATTACTTCCAGTTATAGGGAAAACAAGTTAAGTCAGTGACTTGATTGAGAATTAGAGAATTCAAAATTGTTGGTAAACAGTGGTCTACAGTTTGAATTTAACTTATCTGTGACTCTTTTTGTATACTTTTAAAAATACACTCCATCTGTAGAGGTCACTGAAGATTAGAGCACATTTTAAGGAATCTCAAGGAAAGAGAAATATGATCATTAAAGGCCCCGTGTCGAATAAACTCTGAAGAAATTCTGAAACTTGTTTTTCATCTTGCTTTAATGACTCCACTTACGACTTTTGTGAAGAATGTGAACACATTAGAAATGACAGCCATTTATTTTAAGTAATAGTTTTTATTTAAAAAGTGCGTTTTGATTAATTTATGATCTAGGTAAGCTGTTAAGACATCAGTATACTCTCCGGAATAGTAACTTTACAAAGATTTAAAACAAACAAAATTTTAAAAGCCTTTTTATTTCCTTCACCATTATTGTTTTACAATACAAATATCACCTTGTGAATACACAAAAAACCCTACGGAAGATAATTCTGCTGCACGTAAAATACAGAATGGATATATATACTTCTTCACTCTTAAAAAACTATTTTGTTCTCCACATTGGCAAGTATAGAATAGAATACTTCCCCAAACATACTTATGTTAGGAGTAAAACTTAGAGTTACATGCAGTTTCTGCACAAATATATTTTAAAGAAATAGATCTCTTTTTTGTTGTTCACCAACAAAATTGTCATGAGAGTATGGATAACTAATTTATAGCTTTCAAGTTTTAGTTAAGTGATCATTTTCAAAACTCTCTTTTAAAAAAAAGTCTTCATGGCTGTTTTCATTGTATAGTTAAAATCGAACTACCAAATAGATGATAAAATAATTTAAGTGGTACATGTCACTGCCACCTGCTCACAATATGGGAACAGGCTCTGACTTTCTAATTAACTCTCCCATTCTTTAATTCAGAGCAATTTAAAAACCATAAGCAGTCTTCTGATTTAACTTAGCTATAAATGTAAAATTTAGTAGTGTATACATACATTTATATTTTCATGGAATACTTTATTTTAAATAAAAACATTTAAGATTGCCTACTGACCATACAATCAAGACAAGAAAGGCACTAGAAACATAGACAAATTTCTCTCCCAAGAAGCATTTTTAAATTTTACCCTTCTTTTCTTTGACATGTAAAAATCTTTAAATTTGGTTTTCATACATCATTTTGAAAAATAAAGTTAGGAAATACTTAGAAAATCACTTTATAACAGAATCTTTTTTTTTTTTTTTTTGCACTTTTTGACACACTGTCTCTGCTGATTTTACAAAACCCAAAGTTACCAAACCTTTCTGTGTCTGTCATTTTTATTTGAATATCGGCGCAACAAGTAGAAAGATTTCAGCATCGAACCCCATTCAGGTACTTAGAAACCTTCATAGAGACATCTGCTAGAAAATGGCTTACAGCCCAATCTTTGGGGCAAGAGATATGAAAAGTATGTTTTCCCAAGAAAATAATACGCTTTATTTCCAGATGTGACTGGAAAGACCAGAACTTATGATATAAAAGCTTACATTTATGCTGTTGCATCATATACAAAGGAACATGGTGGCTGCGGGTTACGTAAATCCCAAACTTATGAACAGGAAATGTGTACAGTGCATGATAGGTTAAATTTTCTTTATTGTTGTCCAACGCAGGTCCTTTGGAGAGAAAAAAAGATCACAGTGCTGACCAGGTAACTCAATAGGTTAAGTCAAGGTAACTGCTGAAAGATAACAGGATTAGGGAGGTGTTTATTTTATGGCATCTTCTCTCATGGAGTTCTTAGCACTTGGGACAGTTCCTCTTTCCCCCACTTTGTACAGCTGTTATGTGTCATTCACCAACCGGCTGTATTTAACTTGCCTACTGAGGTGGACTGCTGGCCAGGGGAAGGGCCACTGGTAAGATCGAGGTACAATTCCTTGGACATTCTTTTCAAAGTACTGAAATGGCCTGTACCACCACACCCTGGCCAGGAGGTTCATCTGGGAGGCTTCTTTTAGCACCTAAGATAACAAAGAGAGGAAAAACCAAGTCAGGAAGGACAATTAATTGCTCCAGCCCCAAAAGGAACATACACACTTTTCTCATAATCTTTCACTTTAAGTTAAAATATTTCCCATATTAAAATTCACAAAGGACCTTAGACCAGCCCCACGTCCACCAACATATGCCAGTTTCACACTCACGCCACCATTCTACACTCTGCACTCATCTGCAAATGGGGGCCACACTCTAGTAGAAAAACAACTCCAATTCCAGGAATTCAAGGAGAACTTGTGGCTTACTCAATCTCTAATCTATAAATAAATACCTCAATTAGTTTTTAATTTTTTTATTATTATTTTTTTTTTTTGGTGAGGAAGATTGGCCATGAGCTAACATCCATTGCCAATCTTCCTCTTTTTGCTGAAGAAGATTGGCCCTGAGCTAACATCTGCGCCCATCTTCCTCTATTTTGTATACGGGATGCCAACACAGCATGGCTTGATAAGTGGTGCATAGGTCTGCACCTGGGGTTCTGAACCTGTGACCTCTGGGCCGCCGAAGTGGAGTGCACGAACTTAACCACTATGCCACCGGGCCGGCCCCTCAATTACTTTTTTAGCTACTTACTTGTCTATGATGAAAATGGACAGACTTAATTAAATATTAAGTATTAAGCTTGATGAGGTGCCAAGGGTAGGGAGATGAGGGTAGAAATGCAAATGAAGCAATAGGTGGGCATAGCTTAGAAAATATTTTTCAGGGACAATGAATGTGATACTTGTTCTAGAAGGGTGTAATCTCCCATGTCATTATATTAACACATTTCTTGTTCATTTTTGATTCTGAAGTGGATCAGCATCACAAAAGACAACACATCTTAGTTGACTACCACTTAAGAAAAGAGAAACCTAAGACATTTATGGATTCTTTAAACTCTCCCCCTAGCCATGACATCAACACCAGGCCAGAAGAGGCAAGAGAAACTAAAATCAAACTGGGGAAAACTCACTTGCTGATTGGCCATAGTGTGGTACCACCAGAAGAGTCTTGTGGTGATGTAATATGCCACCACCACGTCCACAGTGTAGTGGTCATGCGCTAAGAGAATACAGAAGATTCCAACCACGCTGAGAAGCCAGCAAATCCAGTGATACCACCAGAGTCGTCGAGGGGAATCTGACAAGAGAAGAAATTTGCAAGAGTCCTATTATTCAAGTACCACTAAGCAGACCCAACCACGTCTCTACTACTACTTCTTATGATTTTATTTATTTATTTTTTTCCCCCAAAGCCCCAGGAGATAGTTGTACGTCATAGCTGCACATCCTTCTAGTTGCTGTATGTGGGACTCGGCCTCAGCGTGGCCGGAGAAGTGGTGCGTCGGTGCGTGCCCGGGATCCGAACCCGGGCCACCAGCAACAGAGCGCGCACTTAACCGCTACTACTACTTCTGAATCCAGTTACCCTGGGTCTCTCTTTCTGAAACAGATCTCTTGCGCTAGCAAATCTAAGGCTTTCGCTTATCTGTAACCAAGGTTAGAACGAAAGCAGCTTATTTTATAAACCGATTTTACTAGCAATAGTAATTCATATTCAGTTGTTACTTGACTCCTATAATCATAAATACAGTTTAAAAGGACAAATTAGGACAGGTTAATGCATCATGCTCCATTAAAAAAAACAACTGTCCACTGACATTTAATTAAATTTACTTGTAAATAATTTAGGATTAATGCTCTATACAAAAATTAATACGTTTTGGTCTATAGACCCTTATACACAGACTAAGCCATTATAATTGATATAACTGTCTTATTTGCTTTGCTTTCCCAGCTCTGCAACCATACAGTAATCTGAAAGTCTTTTGAGATTTCCATTTCTCAAATACAAATAAGAGAGAACGCAAAGGCCTAAGAATTCCAGTCCAAGTGCATTCCCAACGGTAGGGCAGTGTCAGATAAATACTTCCATTTGGGAAGTTATCCGAGGGAAGCATCAAAATCTCCATTAGTGCAGGCCTTCCTGCACATTTCTGCACCTTGTATTCTCAATAGAAGGGCTTCAGAGGGTCTGAAATTTTAGGCAAAAACATTGTTTGAATGTGATCTACCCTCCCCACCCAAGGGGAGAAAGTTTGGGCTTTTACTGGATTCTCAAGGGGTCCAAGAATCAATCATTCATTCAGCCAATATTTATTGAGACTATATCTATGTGCCCAGGACAGGAACTGCTCTAGGTACTCAGATCAACATATAAAACAGGCAAGGAGCTCCCCTCTGTGGGGAGATTCCTTCCTAGTAGGGCAGAGAGACAATAAACAATAATCATAATAAATAAGTAAATTATACACTATGTTAGAAGGCATTATTGCTATGAAAAAATAAAAGCTGAACAGGATAAGCAGGGTCAGAAGGGTGAAGGGTGGCTTGCAATTTTAAACGGAGTGAGTGGTCAGGGTAGGGGTCTTAGTGTATGTATAGGGCTCCATACGCCATCAGGAAAATTTGTATTTGATACCTTAACAATACAACAACAAATAGTGGCTACCACTCATTCTCCATGCAACTCTATTATTAGTGTCCATATATGCCACCTATTTTAATTTTTACCACCTCTCCCTCACCCATTAAGTAGCTATCAGTATCTCACTCTAAAGATGAGGAAACTAAGACTTAGAGGTATAGGTATAGGTTTCTCTCAAGGTCACAGAGCTAGTAAGTGATATCATCAGGATTCAAAAATTAGAGTTTGTGACACAAATCTTCCAAGTTTCCTAATATGGTACACAGCTTTATCTTCAAGAAGGATGAGGCTTAGTTAGCCCCATTAAATGATTTCAGGTACCAACCAGCAGGGGGCAGGAATCCCTCCCCCAGGGCTGCTGACACCAGGCCTATTTGGTTCCCATTTTCCATGACCAGTTACATCCCAGTCCAAGGGCTGGATCACGCCCTGACAATTCTGAACACACATTGTTAGAATTCACTCTATTTGGTCACATACTAAACACAAGCAGAAGAACACCTACTCTCCCTTCTCTCTCTCAGCGCCCTGAAGCGCATCATCTCTTCTCCTCCTGTGTTCCTTACCTTAGTGTTTTAAGATCAAAACTGGGCTTTCACCCTTTAGTCCACCACGTGTCTACTGTACCCCCACAATCAATCTTGCTATCTGTTGACCCTTCTTTGTTAATCCCTCTCAGTTCCCTCCAGTTCTCTCCATTCCCAACGCCATCACGATAGTTTGGGCCACCACCATCTCTTTCCTGGATTATAGCAGCAGTCAGTCTCCTAACTTTTCTCCTGGTCTCCAATCTTGCCCCTCTCCAGTATATCCTGCAAGCTGCTGCAAGAGTGGTTTCTTTCTCTCTCTGTCTCTCTGGGACAAGTATGATGACACTGCCCCACCGGTTACAACCCTTCATTAGGCACCCCATCTCTGTCAGACAGAAGTTCAGACTCTTTCTGGCGGCTTAAGGCACACTTCACGATCTAGTTCCTACTTATCAGTCCATGTCATTTCTCATGATCACCCCCACTCTGAATCCCAACCACAACTACACTTCCACAAGGTGCCACATGCTCCCAAGACACCTCCAGACTGCAACGTGTGCCCCTCCTCTGCGGTACCAGCAGCCTGGTTTACTTATCTCCCTTCATGGAAATTGCTTGTATAATGCTCACGGTTTCTAACAGCAAAATATTGAGGACAACTGAATTTTGTACCAGTAGAAAAATGAATAAATAATCTGTGGTTCATTTATAGTATTAAAATACTAATAGCAATTAAAATGAACCAGAGTCTCATGTCTCAAAAACACAATTTGAGAGAAAATTGGCTGAAGATTATATATAGCATGATATCACTTATGTAAATTTTAAAAACCAGAAAACAATACACAAGTACAAAAACATGCATGGAAATAATACAGGACAATAGGAGGGGGAAGGGATGAAAGGCTTTAATCACGTATTGACATTTAATTTGCTTTTTTAAAGGGTTATCTGAAACAGATATGGCAAATGCTAATATATATTAAATCTGAGCAAAGTACAGGGGTATCTTTAATACTAATTTCTGTGTGTTCCATAATAAAATATTTAAGTACATTTTTAAAAGAAATTTCCCATTTAGACTCTGCCTCATTCAGTGTCCCTGAGCCCATGGCTTCTATAAGAGTAGAGATCACTGACCCACCACTGTACCCTCAGCATACAGCATAGTGCCAGGTGCTTAGAGAAATGGCTACTGAGTGAACACATGATCTTCCATCTCCAAGCAGGCCTCATACTGTATTTTTGTGTATTTATGAGATTTCCTTTTGGCTCCCATCAGCAGCTGTAAAACACCCCAAATACTACAGCTGACACTTGAGTAAAAAACCCGTCAAGAAGAGCAGTTACTTCCTCTCACACATATTTCCCTGGGTGCCTGCTGAATCCGGGCGTGGTGGTGAGATGAGGTCCTGCCCTCCTGAGGCCTCCAGTCTCGTTTCAGCAGACTTCCCAGGGACCGTGGGAAATGGCAGGAGAGCAATTCTAATGAAAGCTGTTTGAGACTTACACTCTTTGATAAATAAGTAGGTGAGTGTGAGCATGACTGTGTGGCCGCTGTACAGATAGTCCCCACACATGTTGTGAGAGCCAGTGATGGACAGGCCACCGCCAGCAATGAGCTTCATTATTCTCCGCAGTTGGGCTTCCCAGTCTCCAAAAAGCTGATGGGAAAAGAGAAAACAAGATTCATTATTAGCCCACATGAAAGTGTGCTATGATTTCTATTTAAATTCAGAATTAGGCTTTGTGATATTGTGATTTATAATAAGAAACAGATATTTGGTCTTTGTCCTCGTTGCTGGCACAGAACTTCTAAAACCTTTGGAATTTCCTAAGTGAAGAGAGAGAGAAAAAGTGTCTTCTGCTATTGATAACAAGTCCCTTTCAACCACACTTAAGTCATGTTAATGAGGTGTGTTTCAAAAAGCCCCTAAGGATGGGGGCTGGTTGCCAGGAGAACCAGTCAAATGATTAAAGGGTTGGGACTTTCAGTCCCACTCGTCCCCCACCTCCGGGGCGGGGAGATGGACTGGAGGTTGAGTTAATTACCAACAGCCCACGACTTGATCAAACATGCCTACATAATGAAGCCTCCACAAAATCCAAAAGGACAGGGTTCAGAGAGCTCCAGGTTGGTGAACATGTGGAGATATGGGGAGAGCAGTGCACCCCAGAGCGGGCATGGAAGCTCCAAGCTCCTTCTCACACACCTTGCCTGATGCATCTTTTCCATCTGGCTGTTCCTGAGTTACATCGTTTTATAATAAACTAGTCATGTAGTAAGTAACATGTTTTCCTGAATTCTGTGAGCCATTCTAGTAAATTAATTGAACCAGAGGAGGGGGTCATGGGAACCTCTGATTTATAGAGGGTTGGTCAGAAACACAGGTGACAATACAGACTGGTGACTGGCATCTGAAGTGGGAGGGCAGTCAGTGTGAGACTGAGCCCTTAAACTGTAGGATCTGATGCTATCTCTGGGTAGACAGTATCAGAACTGACTAAAGAGAGTTGGAGAATTGCTTGATACGAGGGGAAAACCCCCACACATCTGATCACAGAAGTGTTCAGTGTGGTTATTGAGAGTAGAGGAGATACACAGGACTGTTCTTCCTTTACAAGCTTCTATTAAGACATAAAATCCCTCACCATGAAGTCTGCCCATTCAACGCTTCCCGTTCCTTGGGCAGCCCTTGGAAAGAGTATGGTCCTAGAGATGAAACACTTGGCTTCAGAACCTTCCTTAGATGTTAGCACTTTTTATGGGATATTTCAGCAGATGTTTACCCAATTTTTTTTATCACACTAATACAGAAAGACTGACTGATTGATTTACTATGATAACTGCCATTTGTGAGGAATAGAAAACTTAACTCTCTAGGGAAAATATATATGTTTTCGCAAGCTTGGCCTAGAGGACAACTGTTCTATTAACTTAGCTAATGCAATTGGAGGTTGGGACAGTCAAATATACAAATATCTTTTGGTATGTGATTTTTGGAGACCAAATTAAAACAAGGGATTGATAGGATGTACCTTCAATCTTCCGAAATTATGTGGGTAGAACTGCATGTTTTTCCTTTTAATATGAGTGAAAAAAGTTTAAGAATAAATCTACCTGTCTCTGATACAAGTCTGGGCTGGATACTAGAGCAATAAATGGCTTGAACAAGTCACTCACTGCAACTTTTATTTGCTCTGTCAAATGAAATGTGTGAATGTCTATATTTTATGCTTGTCAGCACTCTTTTAAATTGTCATTGGCCAATTTAATCATCATGATCCCTTTTTAACATTTAACTGATAATATTCCAGGCTTTGGGAAACATATGTTTCATTATAATTTTACTTTAAAAAATTTATCAAGATTTCTAGATAAGGATGGCAGGTTGAAACACATTGCACAGAGGATATGATTTCCCAAATTCAAAGGGATCACTGAATGCCCAGCTCAATAGAAGAAAACAGTTCTACACAGCAAGACTCGGCATCATGGAATTTCAGAAACTGAGGGCAAAGAAGAACTCTTAAGCCTGCAGAGATTAAAAACAAGCTTCATATGAAGGATCAAGAATCAGACTTTTTCAAAAGCAACACTGGAAAACAGAAGGCTTTGGAAAAATGCCTCCAAATTCTGAGGGAAAATGATTGCCAACTTAGAATTCTATACCCAGCCATATTATTAACTATGCATAAACTAAGAATAAACTCAAACCATTGTCATATATACAAGATTTCAAATAATTACCACCTATGTACTTTTTTTCAGGAAATTATAAAGGATATGCTCTACAAAGCAAAGGAGTAAAAAGAAAAAAGAAGAAACAGGATTTGCTAGAACGCCAATGGAGAGCCGAAGAGCAGTGCCGGCTTAGAAAGTGAGCATCCCCAATGGGTTAGTCAGAGCTCTGGAGAGTCATCTTCAAGGAAGTGACTAACAGAAGACCCAGTGCCTCCGGCTGTAGTGAGAAGAGTCACAACATAAGGGTATTGAATAAGTACACAGAAAACTAATAAAGCAAAGAGCAAGGCAATTACTAATTCTACAGGAAATAAAATATTGTCCAGAAAAGGAAAAGTAATTATAGGAAACTACACGACTTACCTGTGAATAGCATTTACAAAACTATAACAGTGTAAGCAGTGAATATTGAGTTAAATCAAGGACAGAAAACTACACTGGCAAGACAGGACAAGGAGTGTGAATGTGTGTGATGGGATGACGGGGGGGGGGGGGGGGGGAGGGAGAAGGAAAGAAAAAGGCACAGAACCTGCAAGCTGGTGGGGGTGGGGAGAGGAAGGAACAAGAGGACTCTAAATCTTGGCGTTCCACAGCAGGAAGTCAATAATAGTGACATGCCTATATTAGCAATTATAAAGAAACAATACTGCCATGTCACTTAAAGACCTGAGGGTACACATACACAAAAAAGACCTGTAAAAAGATTTAAGGATGTGAAGGTAAACAGATTCAGTTAAGTTAAAGATTCAGTTAAACAAATCTGAGTCTCAAGATTCAGTTAAGAGTTGAGAGAGTAGGAAAGTGGGCTGCAGGAGGGTTATGGTTAGGGGGCTACTGTCTTTCATAACAAATCGTTAAGTACCCTTTTATTTTTTAAGTTGCATGCATGTAAACGCGACAAAAATTTTTAAGGTTTTAAATGGAAAGTCTGGTACGGTTCTCTCATAACAATGGGTAATATATAGAAGAAAACGATGGCAAAAAATCTTAGGGAGCTCTTCATTTTACATGATTTCAAATTGGCCTTCCAAAATTCCCTCTGTGTTTTGAAAACTATAAATCACATTCTCAGGCACCATTACTCCGCAATTTTCTCTCCAATTTTAGCAGGAAAACATTCGTGGGGAAAATGTATATGCAAGGCAGGAGGAAGAAATTATGAAGCAAACATGGCACTGAAGAAAAACAGCTAAAAATTAATGCTGCATTTCTTACAAGTGCCCTTAAAACCCCTTACACTTTCTTTCTAAAATATCTTTCCATGTTTGTCAAACTTCTCCAAAGAGAAAGTCTCTTTAAGCTTTGTGAGAAAGAGGTAAGGATGGTTACAGTTACATAAAAATTTTTCATTATGTTTAAAAAAGCATACAAAGTAAAAGACAAATTATAAAACAAATGGAACAGAAACAAGGTAACATCTTTACCGAGTACACAGCACACAGAAATCAAATAAAATAAGACCAATTTAGGAAACAAAATTTATCAAAGGACAAAGGATGTGATCAGCTGGAGGCATAGACTCTATCAAAATTAGAAATAAAAATTAACATGAATAGCAGCTCATTTTTTCCCCATATCAAATTAGCAAAGCTAAAAAAAGACGGCCAATGGTGTGGCAGGTATAATGCCACTGATCTTCTCAAACAGGCTCATCTAAGAGGAGGAGAGCAGGTGAAGGCAGCGGCCCTCTATAGAGCAGTGCGGGGAAGAGGCGGCCTCTAGAACAGATGGGCTGGGCTAAAATCATGGCTTTTCTACCAATTAGCTGTGTGAGCCTCGGCAGCGGAACCATTCTAAGCCTCAGTTTCCTCATCTACAACTTGAGGAGAAATATATTTATTACAATTGGAAAAATCCTCTGCAAGAATAATCATTAATACTGACCAGCAATCTAAATAGCCATAATCTCTGACTCAGGTAGATTGCTCCTAGCAGTCTACCTCAAAGAAACGATCCCAAATATGAAGAAAAGCCTTATGTACAAATACCCCACTGCCACTTTCTTTACAAAAGCAACAAATTGGAAACAACCTAAGTGGAAATTGTTAAATAACTGTTCCCTTGCTATTCAAAGCCTGGGCCAGGGAAGTACCAGCAACACCAGGAGTCGGCTGTTGGTGTCTGCTCAGTACCTACTGAACCAGAATCTGAGGGGATTCACATGCACTGAACTAGGCTATAACCGGTTAATAAATTACCAGAAAATAAGTTCACAATGATTGTGTAGCAAGTTTACATCACAAACATTTTCTTCTATTAAGAGGAAAAAACAAAACAAAATGTTTGGCATAATTATAACTGTGTTTAAAAAAACATGCACAGAAAAAGTCTAGGATGTACACACTACATGTTAACAGGGTTTGCGTGGAAATTGGTAGGATTTCTACCAGTCTCTGTCTCCTGGGGACTTCTCTTCCTGTCCTTCGGCAAGAAAGAGAGGGATTCTCTTGGAGCTCTGCAGTTCTGGGACCTAGGTTGAGTGCAGGCAGGAGACACAGGAGAAAAAAAAGGAAGAAGAAGGAAAATCGGGAAACTCACGCCTGGATCTTTCATACTTCCCATTTTAGTTTCCTTCCCAATCTGCCTGCTACCATATTCAGGGTCCCCAAAGAGCTGCCCCACACATTCTGCCCCATGTTTTTTTGGTTGAGTTCAGGGGGAAAGAGGATGGAGTGTGCCTACTCCATTGTAACCGGAACTGTCACCTTCCCATTAGTAGGCTTCTGAATGTTCATTTTTGAAAGCAGAGACATTTTGGGGGACACTCAAGTAAACGTTTCTCAGTGGACACTACAAAGCTGTGACAAGAAGGTCTCATAGCTACATCACTATGTGAATTATGGTCTCCTAGGGTCACAGAAAAATCAGTTTTCAGTGAAAATATAAAGCAGTTTTCTTCAACTTCTAATGAATGGCCAA